CCTAAACCCTGAACCCTAAATTCTTGCATCATCCCTCGACTTTCCCTCTCTGCAAGCTTTCTCTTGAGGTGGGTCAAGTCTTGCGGTCACAGGCGCCAAGATTAGGACCTTTTGATACCTCTTAGAACAACAGAATTCATAGCGTTATGTTCTAGAACAACAGAATTCATAGCATGGTGAGTATACGGGCCATATGGCAATCAACACACAATCGGGATCATGGTTTTGGGATGTCCCCACGAGAGCTTTGGCAAACCAGCTGTGCCTGAAACCCTGGACAAGAAAATCGAAACTACTATAATATATTGGGATTATGTGGGGAAGAATGGAAGAGAAAATGGACATCTCTAGTTAGGGTTTAGCCCGTGCGTCTCATGTCGGGATCGAGAATCTGGAATAGTTCGAGAAGGGGTGCGAATTCTAAAGGGCAGAAGCTTGCAGGGGGACCGAATTGTCATATGACATTGTGGACTGGGAAGTCACAAGGACATTTCTACTTCAGCTATACCTGGACCCCAGAAAGTATGTAGAATAATGGCTCTTTTGATTCCTGTTAGGGGTGTTGGCCCATTGTTTTAACTACTTTGACTTACTGGAGGTTAATGAGAACAAGGGAATATATTACATAGATATATATAAAGGTTATACGGTATCTGTTCAAAATACCTGTTCCCCAAGTTGGGGCCATGATATAGGTTCTCTGTGTGGTTAGGATGCCCTTTTAAGGACGTGTATTCCAAACGGTCCCTTCTTTACAAAGACCTTTAGAGCAACCCCCAATATGGGGATTCTATTCCCTTGTTTTCTCTACTGAAGTTGAGGTTCAGGTATACTCCGAAGAATGTGAAAGGTTTTGAGCTTAGGGTTCAGGGTTGAGGGCTCGGGGTCTCGGATTTATGGTATAGAGCTATCCTAAACCCTACACCCAAGACCGAAACCCTAGGGTTCGGACTTCAGAGTGTCTGAAGCGGGTTTGGACCGGCTGCCAGCACCTTATGGAAAACAAGGGATATATCTCAAAAACGATATACATGTATATATATATATAGATACATACAATGACTATAACGATCCACCTTTTCAGGTTCCACAGCGATCCTTCCTGAAAAGCTTCTTAGCCTACAGGTCATGGTTCCCCTAACTACCTCGCCTAGGGTCTTAGAGCTTAGGGTGTAACTGTAGGAGGTTTTAGGGCTATACTGCCTGCCCAAGGTTCTTCCTCAGCTGCGCTAAGGGGGGTAGTATATCGGGGGCATGTTCAACCTAGGTAGGTACCCCATTCACTGCTATCTATGTACAATGGCAGCTGAACGGAACTTAAAACCTCAACCCTTACATCTGGCTATAACTTGGGCTTCCACCTACTTAGCTGTCAATCTCGTACGTCACGGTATTTGCCTGCTGACAGTCAATGGGCTTCCCGTTTCTTCTAGCTCCGAAGCCAGCAGCCAATAGACTTGAAACAATGAACCAAATTGCTAGGTGTCTAGAGCCTTGAGTAGGGTTTAGGCGCTGAAGTTTATGCCTAATATCTAGCGTGCAGAGCTTTGGGTTGACCATGTCGACAGGAAATCCTTTAAGCAAGTTAACCCTCGCGGCCTCTGAAATGATTCCATCACCCGTCTCGTCGATTGCCATGAAGATGCTCTCCAGCTTGGCGACGTATTGAGCCTTTTTACCTGGGTAATGTACGAGCCCAAATGATCCAACTGAATAGGGTTCAAGGGTGCGCACAGGTCACAAGGGCGCGATCATCCTGCGATTCTTAAGCTTACCCATTACCGGCTGGGGCTTCCTTTTTTGTTTTTTGGGGTGGAGGGGTGGGGTTCGCTTTTGAATGTGCCTGGATGAAGGTGTAATTCCTTGGGGCGTTACTCCTGAAAATAGCTAGAAAATGCAAGAAGCAATATCTCTAGTGCTTCTGCAAAGATGAACAAAAACGAATTGTTGTGCTGATGAGCTGCTTGTTCTACTGTAGGGGCGTTGGCATGCTTTTGCGCATGCTTTTGCCAGACAGCAGTCTACTCTATATACTCAGGACTGCGAAAGCAAAGTCTGCCCGTGCCAACTTGTCACATAAGCCATGGTTGAACACTTGTTCGCATGTCTTCCCTTATGAAAAAAACAGCCTTTGCCAAATCTTCAGGCATGCGCGACCAGTATGATGAAAGCAAAGAAGGGGTTATGGAAATGCGCTAGTGCCATCTGAGAGGCGCCGTATTCCGATGAGTTATAGAAAATAAGACCGTGTTCATGATTCATACCATTAAGGTATCCAGATCCCACGGCCTTCATCCAAGAAACTGCTTCAAAGCCCGAACCCTAGAATGCCTGCCAAGCAGCGCAAGCGGTCCACTACCAGCTGCTCAGCATCATTTTGTGCTGCATCCAAGGTGTCTTTCAAGAACACCTAAGCACTTGGCCGTGGGCCCCCTACCCCTCTATCGGCCAAAAACATGCAAACGTGGCTTGACGTACCGGGTAATGTTCACCTCATATTAATAAATCTCCTCGCAATTGCAGAATCCAAATCCCAGAACGTAATTACAACCCCTCCCCCCCCATTGCAAAATCCAACCTGCCAAAACGCAAAAATCCGTGTACTTCTACTACTGGCCAGTACTGCTATTGGCTACGACGACTGGAGTTCCAGCTCATACCGGATACCCTTAATTACGGAGGCTCGGGTTCACATCCTCGGGGGGGGTGGGTGGGGGAGGAGGGGGTTTCTTATTATGAGGTTAACATTAGCTTGTATACATCCTGAAGGGAATTGACAGCTCTCTATTACCTGGCAATACCTTGAGTACTGCCCCACCCAGTCACAGACTATATTAGGGGGTATATATTAAACTATCTATAATATGTGTATACATAACTGTAAAATTCTCCGACTGCTGCAGAGTGGGGGGCAGTACCCAAACAATACCTGCTTGCAAGAGAAGCGCCGCAGATATGACTCTTATCACGGCAAAGACCACCAGCGTGATATACCTGGCACAACATGTGAAAAATCAACCTAGGGTTTAAACTTCTGGGATTTGGGCCTAGTTTGAGGTGGCAACTGACTTGCGGACTCCATGCTTTCCAACCATTGCAGTACTTACATGTGATTGTGGAAATAAATTGGTCGCGAGCTGTGCAGTCTTCATAATGTCCATAGCAAGGCTGGTGTCCAATGGTAAACGGCCTCCAGTAGCGGGCTAGTCAAGACAACAAGACCTGTGAGGCAACCTCGGACCCCATAGATCTCAAGTCTGGCCCAAGTAGACCATTCCCCTGAAGAGGCGCACCAAGCCCTAAGCCCTACACTCCGTCCCGCTCGTAGTTACATCCTGGCCCCCAGCATGCAATTGGACTTAGAACGGGTTCTTTGTACCATGCCAACGTAATTTGCAGGTGGGCCCCCCCGGAAACAAGCTGAAATGGCCTATGCAGGAGTAACCTCAGACCTTCAACTTTCGACTAAGCCCCCTGAACACTACCCTAGACCGGAAAGGCCTTCCATCTTGGAACCCTAGAATATATATTTTGAATATGAAGCCCGAAAACTGGAACTCTTCTGGTTTAAGGTAGTAAACTGAACATAAAGCCATGGATCTTCTGGGTCAAAGGTAGACCCCGAACCTAGATCCGAAAGCTTCCCTACAAAAGCTTGCTAAAGCAAAGACGAGCTGCGGAACAAAGAAGAAGACATAAAATTGACTTACTTTTTCCAGCCTGGGGTCTCCAAATAGCTTTAAGTGTGGCACCATTAAAAATACAGACCTTAAGGTATCCTAAACCCTAAACCCTAGTACATATAAGCTTCTACAGGTTGTAGAGGCTTCAGCAAACACGATCCATATCGGGACAAAAGGTTTTGAGAAACATGTGAGCCATAGTCTAAACTCCTAGTATCCCACCTCGCAACCCCTACATAATCCCCTATGTAACCCCTTTCAGGAGTTTAGACTATACTTTAAAATCTTGATCAACAAGCTCTCAAGCAACACTGGTCTGGCGCTTGTTGGCCAGTTCCCAGCCTTGGCAATGCAGGATATGCTAATCTCCCAAAAAGGGGGACCCAATATAGACCCCCAAAATAGGGGTAGCTTAATCCTCATTACGGTTTCCCCCCAAACCCTAACCCCCTTTTTGGGAAACCCCTACATCAACATTTGTGGGTCTTCCTGCCTGTGCTGAAAGAGCGAGGGTAAGAGTGTTTATGTTTTTGTTGTCTGTTGCTTTTTGCTTTTTGTGCTTTTCAGTTGTTTTTTTGCTGTTTGGGCGGGGGCGTGTTTTTTTTTTGCAGTGTGGGCGCGGGCGTGGCCCCTGCCCGAGCAGAAAAAAACACACCGCCGAAACAACAAAACAAAAAAGCATGGCAGGCCGGTGAGGTGTCGTGTTGTTTTGTTTTGCTGTTTGGTGTGGGAGGGGGGGGGGGTCGTGTTTTTTTTGCCGTTTGGGCGGGCCGGTGCAAAGGCGTTGTGTGTGTGTGTATTTTTTTTCTGTTTGGGGCGGGGGGGAGAGGGGTGGGGGCTTGTGTTTCTTTTTGCTGCTTGGGCGGGCCGGGGAGGGCGTGCTTTTTGTTGCTCTTTGGGCGGGCCGGGGAGAGAGGCGTTTGGTTTTTGCTGTTTGGGCGGGGGGCCTGTTTATTGTTTTTGCCGTTTCGGCGGGGGGCGTGTTGCTTCTTTTGCTGTCTGGGCGGGGGATGGGAGCGGAGTTCACTCACTTAACGGTCTGCCTGGCTCGGCTTTAAGGGGCCCAACAACAAAAAGGACCAAACAGCAAAGAGGGTGGGTCCCTACAACTATCCCTACATAAGGGTTTCCCAAACTTTGGAACACCTTTTTGGGGGTGTCCATAATAAGGATTATAGCATATTGGGGTCTATATTGGGGTTCCCTTACTTTGGGAAACTACCGCATAATTCTCCTCTGTATTTTCACTAGCATAAAAATATCCCTCGCCCGCGCGGCTCAAGCACGAAGTTTTTGTGGGTGGCATAAGGGAATCTGGTTCAAGTAATGGGTTTAGGGACACGGTTTGTGACGTAGCAATTGGAGCTTGAGAGTATTCTTCTCATTTCGCTATGGCTCCTGTCTCTGCATCAATGATGGCCCTCTGTACGCTGGCAGTACTCGGCACCCTGGACCCTGAACCATAAAATGACGCAACGTACAATTGAAAAGACCCATCACCCACAACAGTCGCATCATCGGATCCTAGCCAGTTGACACAAGAAGCATTGTATTGACAAACATTTGCGTGCCAGCACTCGCATGTCCAGCCCCCCAGAAGAAAAAAACACTGGCGTTGAGAAATCACAATATGGGCTTCTGCGTTGGTACTGGCTTGAACGGATCGCATGCCAAACCAGCTTTTCACCTGACCAACAAAGAAGCACCTATCAACAAAATACAGCCAACTACCATCATTGCTGCTGCGACTATGAGGAATATTCTTAGTAGTATTGGCATTGTACTTGTTTTTGTTTTGGAACTATATTATTATACTATTATTATAATGTACTATTGTGAGCTGTAAAAGGCCCGCACTGGGCTGAGATGCCATACGGAATCTGCATGCAGCACGGCAGCATCAATATCAATATCAAGCGATAAACTGACAAGACCCATCATTCAAGTGACCGCTCGCAAAAAGCTTAATAGCCTTTTGTTGCTAACTACTCCTTAGCCTTACCTCATGACCTCAATGACCTGTGTCTTCAGGCGCGGCTGTTTCTCTCAAAGACAATAAAACTTCTTGCTTTTGGTGGACGAGCATCAAAGGTGATCTCAAAAAGGGTATACATGGCGCGGTATGCGGTTCCTTATCTGTCGGCTGCACACTTACCACCTTTAGCAATTTCGTCTTAAAAAAAAAAGGACCATCATGTAAGGTCAAAAGTGTGAGGAGCCCTGTTTTAGCCAGACCCTGTCGTGACATCGTTTATCGTTTCCCCATACAATTCTGGAACTAATAGCAAACACCTTGCCATCCTCTGCAACGTCCGCTGTCCAGACAGAAAACATGCAGGCAGATTTGTCTGCGTTCTGCTAGGTTTCCTTCGGAGGGTGTCTCAGCATCACTATTGCCGAGCAAGGCTCCGTAGCGCATCCACACCCACTTGCGGTCCTCAAAATCCATGTCTTCGCTGGCCACGAAATCTTGCAGCAAGTTTCCCATCATGAGCGCCCCCATAGACATAAAGATCAGCAAAAGGACCTGGGTACACAAAGCAGCCAAAAAATGTGAACCTGAACTTTTCGAAGCCCCCTAACTGCCTTGTTAAGCAGCCCCATCACGAGGCAGTTGCATCTACGCAAAGAAGTCTCAATCCTGATCTGAACATACATGACCAAACAGGGCTTTCACCGGCCCCGGACCGCATGCGTCTGAACTACTGACCCGGCTTCGTGTGGCAAGCTTGTGCTTGATGACTGTGGGCTTTCGAGTTATCATTGCGTCCAGGCATTTGATGGGACCCTTACAGGAGGACCTGCGCAATATACCTAGGGCTCCCTGTTATCCAAATAATGCGTTCTGGATTCTATATACCCTATATTTACATAGCCCAGTAACCTACTATTTAGGTAACCAGGAGCCCTAGGGATAGACAGTCCCCTATTCTCTATAACTCCTTTCAAGACAATTCCACTCCCAGGCCAAAGCACCATAGCCCAGCAGAGAGAGGGCAGAAAGCACTGGCACGCCTTGACAAGAACCCGGAGGCCCTGGAAGAATCGCAAGCTTCGCACCTCCGAGCCAGGGCACATTTGAGAAGTTGAATTAGGGTTAGGGCTCATGTTCTTGTTTTCGTAGTGGTGTTGACAGGTTCTGGAGTCCCCTCTGTCGAGATCATCTTCGAAAATGTCTGTTTCCACAGTTTCCCAGATTTTGACAGCGAGTAGTCCCAACATAGTGTAGGATACGCATGGATGACAAAGGCATCCCGGGGCTTGGCACTGAGGACTCGAGCTAGGGTTTAGGGTTCAGATTTTAAGGTTTAGGGCTTAGGGTGAAGGGTTGAGGGTTTAGGGAGGGTTTACTTCTGAGGGTGTAGCTTCGGAAGGCTGCTGGTCCTCTGCTTGGTTGCCATAGTCCTGGATTCAATGTCTAAAAAACGAGAGCAGCCCTTCCCCACATGCATACCTCTGCATATTGCATTAAGGAGACTACTCAAAGAGACCATCAGCCTTTTCACACCTGAAACACAAAAAAAACACCGACCTAAACTTCATGAAAAACAACTAAACCGCCATGTTCAACCCTTACAAAATGCAGAGCGCATGCGACATTAGGGCTTTCGGAGCTAGAGCTTGGAAGTTAGTTGCAGAGCAGGATTTTGCAAATGTACGTGTAAAGAAAGGCTAACCTTGGGATACGCTTTTTGAAGCTGGCCTTTGAAATGGTTGGCATAGAACCAGATTGATGGCAAACAATATAGCTGCTGGCCAGGTCCCAGAAGCCTTCAAATAATCCCGAACCCCAAAACCTGAAACCTAACCACTCAAACCCTAAATCCCAAAGCCTTAACCATACAGGGCCTTCTACCCTGCAAAGCTCTCAATCCTATACAGCCCGAAACTCTAGCAATCCAAAGCTGTCTGTCAATTCTGATCCCTGTTTGCCCATTCAGGCCTTTAGTGTTCGGAATTTCGTCTTCTTGCGGGAAAATACCGTATTGACCAAACCCTTTACCAAAAAAGAGCAGGTGAGTTCAGGCCTTATGAAGTCCTTCAAATATTGTTTCGGGCAGTATGGTGTGGGAATAGCTGGGAATGAGTCTTGAGATTGTATAGTAAACTATGCTTCAATGATAGGGTTGAAGGGATGCCAATGTACAACCAGGTCTCTACATGGGAGAGACTCTTTCAAATCCTTGATTCATGTACAGCACTTCTTCCTTACTGGGGGCTAGGAGGGGAATAAAGGGATATAATCCTTGCAACAAATCCTAAAGAATAGCTTCCCTTGTTCCCTACTAACCTCCAGAAAGCTTCATGGCGGGGAGGGCTACATGAACCTCAACAAGGTAGCCACGTTGTGAGGGCAGAGGGTGCCAGAAACATTAGCATGCTAAAGGGTTTAGGTTTCAGGTTATGCTGTGGCAAGAAGAAAACAGCAGCTCAAGCAACGTCTGGGCCATTGACGAGGCGGTTTAAGGTCTTAGGGCTAAAGGGCTTAGGGCTCAAGAGAGGCATCATATAGCATCCAAACAAATCATCACAATGCTCCGGAGAAAACTCTGTACACATTACCTAGATTTTGAGTTATACCATTCTCCTTTGGGTACAGACATTATGACTAGAATGCTCAAGTGCAGTGTAGAGTGCTACCTGACCATCCCAGTACCCAATAATGGAGCTTTTGGCACAATCTGAATGGGTTTTTAAAACCTCAAACCCCCAACATTTGGGTAACTGGATCCTTAGGGTTAGCAGGCTGTTAGGTTTTGGTGTGGACATCCCTGGCAAATACTAAGGAGCACCATCCGCACAGCTCGCAGAGACTTCAAGGCGCGCACCAGACGCAAAACCTCAACTTGTTGCACCTTCTGTCTAGGATTGGAACTGGGTTGGATCTAGGTGCCCCTAGTTGGGGTCTTTGTACCGGTGCTGTATAACTGAATAACCTGGAAACAAACCCCATCAAGACCCATAGGTAGAACCCAGGGCACCAGTGAGTGCTCATAGTAAGGTCCCATGATCAAGTCGCCAGTATGGATCCACACTTAAGTACTTTGCAGGAGGGCAGTGTAGGCTTGCAAGTGTTCTTCTTTCCAAGTTTGCCTCCTTTTTTGGGGACATTCCCTCCGAGCTCATGTCATTGCTTCCAACTGGCAACTCAAATCACGATGTAGGTCCCAAGCTATCATGGCACAGCCCGCGAGAGGTTGCGCAAAAGACACGGCGTTGTTAACTATGAGGTTCCCATGACACCAACAACTGCCGACGTGGCCTTCCCAGCAAGGTCAATCCTGCTACCGGAAAGACACAACTCCTGCAAGTAAAATGCAAGCTAAGATATCACTGGGCTTCAAGGGATAGCCTAGCAAATTTATGCTGAGACATGTTACTGTAAACCGCAATGGCCACAACATATGCTCCGTCGTGGGTTCTAATTGGACAGACGATATTGTATACTGAACCATACCAAGCAAAACCGACAACTCTTGCGTAATTTGGCTGTGCTTACAGAGGTGGTCCCACTGGGTGGGCAGCATCTTTCGCCCACACACAAAAGATCAACTCTACACATTACCTAAGATGCAAGCTACGGCATGATACCATCATTCTTGCATGACCGTGGGTTACTTTAATTTTCACAATTCTGCTATTCTGCAAATGTAACAGCGGAAGTCCAATGCGGCCGATGGGCCACGATACTTTTCGATGCCCCACCAGCATCGGCCAAACTGAAGTTTATTGCAAGGTCCGCAACTCCAGACATCACCAAGACGGTGTCGAACAGATTGGCAAAATCCTTCACAAAGTTCCACCGCTCGAACCAAACGCGGGCGCACCACTCCAACATGAAGATAAAGATAAATATCGTGTCAACGACAAAGAACGCATTGCGGGTAGCCTTGGTCAAGCATGAGACTTCAATGAAGAGTCTCATGTACAGGGCCCGTAGGCCTTCTAATCGCAGAGTACTCGGAATTGTGCTTGTGACTTTTGAGGGCGGGAATTCGTTTCGACATGCAGATGCAGCAATTTCAGCAGTCACATCGCACTGCTGCTGACGTACCCTGGAAGGACTCGGATTACTCCACACGGCTTGCGCAGATTCCTGCTTCTCAAAGCCCCATACCTGTACTCTAAGAGCGTCTTCTGTACACTTGGGCAGGCTCGGCAATTGCATTCTAAACGGCATGCCGCATCCAGATGTCATGGAAACACGCCATCAAATTTCTCGCGCCGTTTTCAGGAATCCCCGTGACTTTAGCCTTGTGCTTGGCTGAGACATAGTTATGCCTGAACTAGTTGAGCCTCAGCCTCTGTCCCGAAGTGTCACCTGTTCTATAGACATCCAAATGACAATGCCAAGGAAGTTACGTACCCGTGACAAGTCAAGGCTGTTAACCTTGGTTGTCAGAATCATGGGCGCTAATTTAGAAACTCAACCAAGGAGTGGCTGCCTGAGAAGCGCCCAGGTCCTAAACCCTAAGCCCTAGACCCAGTAGCGGTTGAAGCCAATGGTATTAGGACAAGATTTATATGTGTGTATATATATATATAGACGGACTATTAATGGATAGCAGTCTAATCGCCTCCAAATAGCGAAAAGTTCACACCCTGAGTATCGTACATTACAGAAGCCGTTGTCACTCGGCACATTGGCTGGTCCAGATCCTGAACTCTATACATATATACATATATATATACACACATATATATATATATATATCATCCCATATACTCAAGATGTCCCGTCATGTCAGCCTTTATATCCCCATATAATTATCGAAATACACCCTTATTATAGAAGTAGATCCTAAGCTACCAGGAGGCATTATCTCGCTGATATCCTTCGAGCCCGAAGATCGGCCCAAGCTCACGACCCGAAAGCTCAAATTCCTGATTTAGGGTTTGGGGTGCAGAGTTTAGGGTCTAGAGTTTGTGGCTGGGGTTTTGGATCTAGAGTTTAATTTGGCTTAGCTTCTAGGGTTTGGGGTTTAGGTTTTAAGGTTTAAGGACTAGGGTTTAGGGATTAGGAATTTCGAGTTTGGGCTTCGGTGTTTAGGGTTTTGGGGTTTAGGGTTTCGGGTTTGGGGTTGGTTTTAGGGTTTAAGGATTAGGGATTTAGGTTTGGCGCTTGGGTTCAGGTTTTAGGATTTGGGGCTCAGGCTTTAGGGTTTAGTAGGCTTTGGGTTTTAGGGATTTAGAGTTTGGGTCTAGGTTTTAGGGTGTAGGGTGTGGGGTTTTGCGGCTTAGCTCTTCGGGTTTGGGGTTTAGGACTTGGAGTTGAGGTTTTAGGTTTTTAGGGTTTAGAGTTAGGGGCAGCTTAGGGTTGAGGTTGGATCGAGGCATTATGGGGTGGGCATAATAGTACATCGGGGCGTCCATAAATCCTGGGCTTTAATATAGACACTATGTGCTGCCATCCTTTTGGGCTCCGACAAATAGGGTTTGGGGTTTAGGGTTTAGGGCAAACCTCATAAAGCGACCTGAACTCTGAGAAATACTCATCTTGACTCTCTTGTGCTCAATTTTTGGCGCTACAGGAAGCGATCGCATCTAGCCCATCTTCCCCAGAGCAGAATGGAGGCCATTCTCATGACAAGCATTTTGTCCAAGAACGAAGAATGTCAAAGTATCCTACCTCACTTCTGCATTTCAGTACATGCCTTGAAGCACAACGACTGCAGCATCTGCCAATTAAGGACCTCCAAGATTCTGGATGCAGCATCTCAGACCTAAGCCTGCTGGTGCTGCTTTAGGGTTTAGGGTGTAGGGACATTGAAAGCAAGCATGTATTTGCTCAATATCGATGAACTCCTAGTCACTACAACCAAGCTATCTCCAAATAGAACCAGCGGTACCCGCATTGCGTACCCCCGGGACCCTACAGCAGACAAAGATCAAAGGCTGACGAAAGAAATTGTCTCCGCTATTGCTGGTTCCTGGTAGGGAATATGAGTATATATTATGTTGGGATTATATAGGGGTTATACTCTCGTAATCCCGACTAAGAACCAGTAGGTTACAGAGGCGTTTCTTTAAGTTCCGGCTTCAAAGCCCTGAACTGCAGGGAACCGGAAGGAACCAGTACTATCGGCGGCTGCCAAGACCTAAACCAACACCCAATCCCCAAAACCGAAGCTCTAAACCTTCAATCCCCCTAAACCTCGAACCCTGAACCTTGAATCCTAAATCCTAAGCCCTAAACCAAACAGCAACTGTAGCATCTCAGTCTCCACCATCATGATGAAGGAGTTTAGCAGAACTAATGCTCCGGCCACGTAGTCCAAGTAGGCCCTCACGTGGATCCCTACCTCCTTGACAGTGGCGGGTATTGATGATCAAGAGAAGTTGTAGGCGGATTCTTTGCATACATATAAATAAATATATGTATATATACATATATTTATTTATTTAATTATTTATATATTTTACATAGGGGATATATAGGGTTAAGGATTTTGGGGTTGTACGGGATGAGGGCGTAGAGGACGTGGGGTCTGGGGTTTGTGGTTGAGGGTGGAGAGTAAGGGTTCAAGGGGTGAGGCTTGAGAGCTTGCAGCTAGGCATTGAGTGTTCCGCTTCGGAAGCATATGAGCTATAGTCTAAACTCCTAGTATCCCTCCTTCCTAACCCCTATACTACTTCCCTACATAATCCCCTATATAAACCCCTTTAAGGAGTCCAGACTATAGCTCATATGCAGTCTTAACCTCGCACTATGCTGCTTGGAGTGGCGGTGTAGACTTGAGTACTAATCGGCATAATAGCAATAATGGGAATAATAGTGCCAATGATGGTGATACTAGTAATAATGATATTAATAGTGCTATGTCAGTGATAGGCCGGCACAGCTTGCAGGATAAAGAGAAGTAACTTGTATTGGTTGGGCAATGCACGCCTGAAATCCATATACAAGAGCGTAATGGCAACAAGGCCTACATTCACACCAACTCTCCGGCAAAGAGTGTAGTGCCACAGGCTGAACTATCAAGTCCCCAACGCCCAAACTCAAGGCTTGCAAGTCTTTGGGCAAACGCAACAAGTCGGGTGGGCTGCATGACAACGAGCTCTTCCTGCAAAGAAGCTACACCCACCCCTGATACAGACTCCGTGCCGTAGCAAATTGTGGGAATCACCACCAATGGTCAAGACTCCACACTGTTTTTGTGTATATCCAGCAAAAGTAACATAGCCATGCATTTCTAGGTAAGTTCAGAGCCTGAAGGGCGTATGACGCCAATTAATGCAGCATCCCCCTATTGCAAGGGAAAAGGCAAAATCTCACACTTGCCAACCAATGTCAGTATCTCACCTTGGAAACCCATATAATGGGAATCATAGGGATGAGGAAGTTGACCATCTTGGAGAAGCTCCGACAACATCAGCTAAACCCTGCAGCCAATACCCTAATCTCACGCACACCCAAAGGGTCCATGTAGGTATATGGTACATACTTAGGGCCCAAAGGGGTTCCATATACCTACTTTAAAGCCCAAGCATACCCCATATAGCTACATGGACCCTTAGTTTCCATTTTCTTTTCCATTACCCCTATATAATCCCAATATATACCCTATTATACTGTAGTAGTTTCCATTTTCTTTTCCCTTAGCCCATAAAAAAACTCTAAACCCTAAACCCTAAACTCTATCATATAGCTACATGGACCCCTTGGGAAACTGCAGGAAAAGGTCCTCCGAAGCGGTATAGGTATGCTTTGAAACGAGTTTATCGGCCTAGCCAAAGGGGAAAGGCAGCTTCGTGATATGAGCTAAGGGTTTAGGGTTTAGGGGTTTAGGGTTTAGGGGTTTAGGGTTTTAAACTCCTATTATAGTATCCCCCTTAATAACGGAGAATCAAATGGAAAAGAAAATGGAAAATGACACGGAAACTGGGATTATACAGGGGATTATAGGGGTTGTAGTCTAAACTCCTAGTATCCCCCTTAATCACCCCTATAGTAGTCCCCTATATAATCCCCTATATACCCCCTTTAAGGAGTTTAGACTATGGCTCATATGTTTGTGTTTGGCGGCATGGGGAGGGGCCTCAAGAACCGCAGGGATATGCGGGAATCTATGACGGAATTGTAGAAAGGTTCTCTTGTGAAGATCCAGTGGACAAACTTCAACTCGGCGGTCGCTTCATGGGATGGAGATCGGAGTATTTACAATTTAGGGCCCGCAGTATGAGTCAAAGTATTATATTCCCAATTCAAGGGTTTTTTGGGCGTTCTGGGGTGCATCAGTTTAAAGGACCGTCTACACACTTCCAGAATCTTTGCATCCAGCAGACATTTTAAGGCCCGCTCAAGAAATAACAGCATCAGTCTCTGAAGATACACTCCCATCGTGTCATAAGGCACGCTTTAACATCAACTACGAAGCTCTTCAAGACCAAGATGGGCCCCATTGCTGACACAAACTCCTAATTGTGTAGCCTTCCTTGTTGACATTCCGCCCTGAAGAAGCCAAACGCGTCCTCCTGATGACCTTGCTGTTTTCTTCAATTCCTTTCCAAAACAACTTAGAGGTGGCTTGAACTAATGTACTCGTCTTCTATGATTCCCACGGCTCCTGGAGCCAGCGCTGGTACAAGGACCTAGTGATCCTGAATAAGTTGCAAGGCGCCTCCTAAGCGCAACATTGTATCGATGCAGTGCGATCTCACAGCTCCAAACCATGAACTTAAACCCGACCATTCAAGAAAGTATGCCCGCATAGCATTCTCCGGGTAACTGACTACAACGTTTGTTTCTCGTCCGTAGATGCCAAACATGTGCTCACGCATCCGACTTTGTTTTGGGAATCCCGGACAACGGTCAGATTATGAAGGGGACCCATATGCCCGATGACTTGACAAGCCATGGAGGCAACCTTTAAGGATGAAAGGCTTAGGTTGGCTCATTCCCCCTTACTGTAACTGTCCTGAAAGGGGTCTTAGGGAGGGGCGATTATAACCTGAATAACCTGTATTACATAGTAGGGTAACTGTCACTGTGAGCTCTTCGACCAGTTCCTTTACGTATTATGGAGAGAATACATGGATACATCATACATGTTGGATGTTTCTTCTAGGGCCTGTTATGTCAATAAATTCTGTGTAAGTTTATCTTCCGTAGAAGGTTCCACTAAAATGGCTAACCATCATCACATTTGAAACATGTAATCCACATATAATGAGGACTCCTTTTTTTAAGGGCACCCCCCATTTTGAGAAATTCCCATCTTCAACAGTGACCCATATCCTGGGCCTGGTTCTTCGAACCGATGGTCTTGTCAAACTGCTGCATGGAAGCATGCGTGAAAGGTGTGATCTGCCGGCCCCTGAGAGGTCGGGTTTAGGGATTAGGGTTTAGGGTTGCATGGGGCAACTGGAAGATCGGCCTGTTTCGGCCACTGCAACTTTCGGATTTGTGACCGGTGTACGCTCCCGATTCTGTAGATGCTTCTAGCTCACCATCTGGGATTCGCCTGCAAAGCGTTTTCATGACACATCACAACTGTAGTTTCCGTAGACCTAAGATACGAAATATCTTAATATTTCCTTAGCCTTATACTACAAGAAGAATTAAAAATAATTCCTAAGGACAGTACAATGCCCACATGCCAGGTGCTAGCGGAAGGATTCTTAGTGGCTTTTTTCAGTCCTCTACGGTTCACCGCGCATTCTGGACGCTCTCTGCACCTCTTGCCAATGCCCGTTGGCTACCGAAAAATGACACGTGACAAGACTGTGGGTGTGGCTTGGTAACCTTGTACCGACAAAGAGTGCGAGAGCTTTGGTTTCAAGCACCGGCTGCGGAGAGGCTGCACGAAATCTCTGCCCAGTCCTGGACATCCTGGAGCCTATACAATACGCGTACACTACTAGCAAAAGCGAGGACTATGCAGGAACCATTGTAATTATTCGTCTTCCTGCTCACATCCGCAAAGGGCCGCATGCCTTTGGACTCGCATAGAAGCTTGTAAATTAGATCAGCAGCCTTGTCCCTTCTGTTTGCCTGAAGTGTCCTGTCCTGCAAAAGATATGGAGATGCGCAAGACATAGGACTAGTCTCACTCCTCTCCAACAATTTTTCAACCTATCATACGACGTTGTGCTGTGAAGCCCGGGCCCCAACGAGGACCTCCTATTGGGGCGCGTCTTCTTCACATTCCAGGCTCCTCGATCAGAGTAGTAGAGCGCGCATCCTGGTCGTAACATACTCTCCAAAACGCCGTCTGGATAAAACAAACCTACGACAATTAAATGACCTCAGAATCACCCCTTTTATCTCCCTAGATTCCCTGATATACGCGCTGAGGCACATTTCCGTGTTGCCGTCACCATTTGACAGGGAAGAGCTTGCAGAAGAGTCTGCAGATGCCTTGGGATTTAGTGTTTAGGGTTTATAGGGATTTAGGGCTTAGGGTTTGTAGGGACTGTGCCGCACGATGATTCTGCATTCTGGGGATTGTATCATCATGGTAGTTTCCGTAAATATGCGGGCCCACGCCCTGGCAGATCAGGGTTTAGCGTTCGAACTACCCCATAGTACGGTAAGTACCCAATATCTTGGGTTTGAAAGCCCTTAGTATAGGTGTTTGGGAAGTCCAGGTCTAGGTTCCCTTATACCCGACCTGTATAGCTCCCCAGTATATGAGGTATAACCTCTAGACTCTACACTTTTGGTTCATGGAAGTATTGATCAACTCGCCATGGGGATTCTTCGGGCCTGTTAAATATCCTTTACGGGGGGTTCCATAAAAGGAGGGCCCTATACTAATCACCCGATTATACGATGGTCCTTATTATCAGGACTCAAACAACCCGCGCTATCTGTCGGCAACGCCCATATACGTGGCTTATCTCATGTAAGGTTGGTCGAGCTATGCTGAGTCTTGACTTGCTCTGTCATGTCTGCCTTCTCGTGACCCCAAGATAATTTCAAGGGTGGGGTGCATAGGCCCCGCCGCACTAGTGATAAATACCCCCCACCCCCCAATTCAGTACAAGTATAAAACGGGGTGAATATTTCTGTTCAGGGGGTGGGGAGGTTTATCAGCGGATGGGGATTTACGAGCCCTTTGATTGGCGGTATCTTTTTTTCTGTCTGTTGGGATGGCACTTGTTGGGATAGCAGCCCAAACGCCTACTTGAAGATTCAGGGTAGTTTCGACCCATGTATAACTGGCACTTACAACTTATATCCTTGTTAGGTGCTTTAAGGGGCTTACAATGGGCCCTGAACCTCCAACCT